CCGTGTGTGTTGGGGGTCTCACGCTCATCCGTGCACACGCTCTCTGGCATAAACTAAAAACCAGTACCTTCTTTAAAACCAGTCACAGTACAGCATGACCCCACTGTGTACTTGGAGAAGACATACACAGATGACAGACAGCAAAATATGAAGGGGAGTTATAAACCACTTTTTGGAAAAAACACAAGCAACTCAGCAGTGGTTATTTTGGAGGAGGGATGTGAGACAGACACATTCTTCATCAGTACTTTTCCCCACCTGAGAGAGCTGTCATGCTCGTGAATTACTTTGACTTGAGAATTTTCCAGCACCCCTTGCTCAGAAAGGACTTGGCACACAGCCACCACCGCTGCACACCGTCCTAGTGCCCTCTCACTGCTGCTCCTTCCCTCTACGGCACTTACACATGGTCCCTTCAGACGACCGCTCAGCGCCTGTACCTCACGAGTCTGCACCGACCCCTGCACTCCAGCACTCTGCACCACTCCACACTTCGGTGCTCAATAAATACCTGATAATGGATGAAAGACTCTTACCCTCCTTTCTAAGAACCGGCTCAGCTGAAAGGAAGGTTTTCCTGAACTCTCCCAAGTCTGAAATGACCCTTTCCTCCCTTGGGCCCCCTCTGCCATTCTACGTTCTCCCCCACTAGACTGTGTGATTCTTGAGGCAAAGGCCCTCATATTCATCTAAAAAACTCTGCAGTGCCTCAGTGCAGAAGCACTCGATAAATAGTAGATAAAGGGACACTCAAACAAAACCTCAAAGTAAACTCCACTCATGTTAAAAATCAAATAATACTGATGTCTCACTTTTTTTTTTTAAGAATTATTTTATTTAACTTCACTTTTTAAATTTGACCCGAGATGGACAGAGTGAAAGAGCAAGAGAGAGAGAAAGAGGGAGGGAGGGGGAGAGAAGGGAAGAGAGAAAGAAAGCTACCAGGTCTGGGACTTGAACCACGGTTGGCCATGTGAGAGTCCAGTCCTTAACCACCACGCCACCTGCCAGCCCCAATGTCCCACTCTTTCTAGTCTGTTTCGTTACGACAGCAAAACCAGAGTGTGTGGAGTAGGACTCTAGACAGGGATGGAATAACTCAAAGCAGTGGGCTCGCCACTGAGCTCGAACTAGAGGTGGAGACACCAGACCGCTGGCCCGGACGGCAGAGCCAGGTCGCAGAAATGACAGGAGCAGGCACAAGTCTGCCCGACACTCCGTCTCAGTAACTTTTCCTGAATTCAGCTTTATATTCACATGACAAACTGCTACAGTTTAAAAGCAAGAGAAACCAATTCAACTTTCCCAATTAAAAAATGACCCTGGGTATCAGAGTTAAGATTCCTAAATGTGATATTTTATCAAGGTAAAGTAACAGGACATCTTGAAGGAATTGGAGGTGGAGCTTGCTGTTTCCCTTCAGACAGTCACACAAACACACACACACACACCAGAGTATCACAAATAGCACTGTTTATTTGTGAGATAGAGCTAATGTGGCAGAATGCTAACAATTGACAACTCTGATATCGTACATTCTTATTGTTTTTTTTTTTTTTTTGCAAGTTAGACACTTTTTAAGGAAAAAAAAAACTTTTTAAAGAAACTATGTTGAGCCAGCCAGAGGCATGGTAGTTAAGGCAGCTGGATACCATAGGGCAGACTGTGGTTCAAGCCTCAGACCCAGCAGCTTGAAAAACATGTCAAACACATGTGCATTTGTGCCCAAAATCCTAAGAGGACAATGCACAAAGATTTCTGGTGTGGTCATCCCCCGAGGGGTGATATCTCACTTTCCCTCTCCCACTTTATCTGGCGCATGTGCTTGCTCGCTTGCTCGCTCTCTCTCTCTCTCTCTCTCTCTCTCTCTCTGTCTCTCCCCAGCGAGCACACATACTCTGCAGCAAAAGAAAAAGAAAAAGAAAAACCTACTCCATAGTAAAGGCTGTCCCAGCATTACCACCATCTAATGGCATCAGATGGGGAGAAATAAAAACAGATAACAAATACATCTGAACAAGGCAATTCAGAACAAGGTTCTAAATTACTTACAGTAATTCTAAAATTACTGTATCTTCATTTAAATGTAATTACAAAGTCTCACCCATATGGTATCTGAGGGCATATTATTCTCCCCAGCAACCAAGGGACAGCTGTTGTATAAAAACCTTGTAAGAGGCTAAATAGCACAATAGAATAGCAAAGTCTCAAACTAGCAATTTCCAGACTATTCAAGGTAGCAGATTTCCTAGCTGCAGAAACAGGAAATCAAGAGAGGTAAACAACTGGAAAAATGTCAGCTACATACAACCTGTTCAAATCTCTGGACCTATACAATGTGACCCAGTAATTTAATATAAATGTTGAAAACGCCCAGTTCTTTCATCACTTTTAAAATGTTTTTCAGGGACCTGGCAGATGGTTAAGTCGCCGAACTCCCACATAATAACTGCGGCTCAAATCTGAGACCTAGAGACTTAAAACTCATGCTGGGTGCGTGTGTATACGGAGAAGGGACTGCGGCGTAGCCATGCCTCTGGGAGGTGATTTCTCACTTTCTGTCTCTCTGTCTCTCTAGCAAGCGCACATACCAAAAATCTCTTTTAAAAAAGTTTTTCAGTCATTAAAAAGCCCTCATATCTCACAGAGCTAAGACAAGACATTAAAGCTGGTCTGAAGAGTAATGACGACTTCCAGGCCAGGCACTGGAGCAGATGCTTCATATACATTATTTCCAATCACTGACAACCTGGCAGGTAGGTAGTACTGACACCATTTCACAGGTGAGGAAATTGAGGTGCGGAGCAGAAGCAAATACGCACGATCCTTCCGAGGTTAAGTTCAAGGACCCTGGACTCTAGCTGGAAAACACACACACACACACAACTGCATTATGTACAGACTGAGTACGCCTTGTCTCCAATGCTTGACTCCACAAGTGCTTTGGATCTCAAATTTTTTCCAAGTTTGGAATGTTTGCATATATAATGAGATACCTTGGGAATAAAACCCAAGGCTAAACATGAACTCTGTGTAATACACGCCTTACACACACAGCCTTCCGATAAACCTAAACTTACCAACTTTTTGTTTTTTCTTTTTGTATGAGAGATTTTTGTTATAGGGCACATGTGCTCACCAGAGAGACAGAGGAGACAGAGACAGAAGACGAGAAATCACCCCCCCACAGGGGGATGGCCATGCCACAACCCCCTCTACTCCATTCTCCTCTTGGGATCTTGGGCACGCATGTACACACGCCCAAATAGAACCACTACGTGGGAGTCCTGTGGCGTAATCACTACACCATCTGCCGGCCCCACTTACCTTTTATACTGCAGTGTTCAACTACAACCAGTCACATGGGGCCAGATGTGGAATCTTCCACTTGTAACGCCATGTCAGTACTCAAGAAGTTTCAGGTTTTGGAGGATTGCAGATTTTGAATTTTTGAACTAAGGATGCTCAACCTATACCAGGTATGTCTGAGGTAAGGCATGTCCTGTAAGGCTCTCGTCTTCTTCATAAGGGAACCAGCAGTTAGCGTAATGGCTATGTCGCTGGACTCCCACGTAGTCGACAGCGGTTCGTGTCCCGGACCCGGTGGCTTAAAACTCACGCCGGGCGCGTGTGCGTGCGTGCCCAAGATCCCGAGAGGAGAATG